GCGCGAATCTGAAAGCGAAAGGGCGAAACAAAAGCAAGCGCACACCAGCCATTAGAGAAGAAAATAAGAGTAGGGCGGGGCGGGGGTGGAATTACAAGGGATATATGTATGTACAGGGCAGGCCAGAAGCCAAGGTGCGGGGTGGGGGGTGGGGGTTTGAGGGAAAAGTCGCTTTTGAATATTTAATATTTATAACTTGAGCAACGAACCGAGAGATGATTTATATCCCCTCCGGAAGCTAATCTCGAGTTTGGTCTAACTCGAACATACACACAGTAAAACCGAGACAGGGAGGAGAGCGAAAGAGACACAGGGATACGGAAGAGGTAGAGGTAGAGGTGTGTGCGGGCGGTGGGAATGGAGCTTTTCGAGGCGCAGGCCATAACGCGGTTGAGGTTATGTGCGGCTGAGCATATAACGGTAAAATATGACACACAAAGCGCTGGGAATACGCTTCCACGTTTCCGTCTCTCCTCTCTCTATCTCTCCGTGTGACTGTGTGTGTGTGTATACATACATATTTTAAAGCATGTTGCACCAAAAATCCAAATAAGTATGCTTTATCGATTCCAGGGAAAACACACACACACATACACATATATTCAACGTTTCTCGAGCCAAAACCCCAATAAGACCAAAAACCAAGTAACATTTTCTGGCTCGAGTTCCGGGCACCCAGGCACCGAGGCACCCAGGCACCAAGGGCTCCAAAGCTCCCCTCAGTGGCGCACTTAATTTTGTTGCTGGTTGCATGAAGCTGGGAGCTCTGAAGGCGGATTTCACCGGTCTCAATCCTTGTGCCCTGTATCTTCTCGGTCTGACTCGAGTCAACCCTGACCGCTGACGAGGGATACACACACACACACGCACACACAAGCCATACGCATAGGAACCGTTAGACGGTCATTACGACGATAAGACAACACTGTCGATGTTGTCGATGTTTGTTGTTGTTGTTATTTCTGCGCCTGTTTCTGTTTCTGTTGTTTTGCGTGTACCTCTCTCGCCGCCCCTCTCGTTCGTTGTACGGTGTGTGTGTGTTTGTGTGTGTGTGTGTGTGTGTGTGTGTGAGAGTGTCCTGTTGCTGACACAAGAGCAACAGAAACAACGAGCCACCGTCAGAATGGAAGGAAAGAAGGGGAAATAAAGGAAGGAAGTGCGCCATAGTCGATATTCAGACTATGGGAATACCCCGCTCTCGTTCACGATTTCTGTTTGTGTGTGCCACAACAAGTGGAAAATTGATCCAATCGGAAATATCCAAGCAAAAGAGATATTCGCTAGATATCTGTACACATGTTTATACATAGGTACACAGTACAGGCACCTAGTATATTTACCTTTTTTTTGAGTTAAGATACATTTTGTCTGCTGATCTTAACCAGAAACAGTCTCCTACTCGTTCTATACAATCCTTTTTCAAACGAATTACGCACACATAGCCTTGTGCCTTGTGCCTTGGGTGGTGGGTGGTGGTTGGTGGGGCAGGGTGGCTGTCAATGCCAGAAACAGGCACCCAAAAACACAGTCAGAAGAAGCAGTCGAGCGCGTTTTATTTCCTTTTATATAAGTTTATTTATTTTTTTGCTCATACTTTTACTTCTTTTCCCTTTTCTCCATCATCATCAGCACCCACGTTTTATCTCTGGCCGAAAACGTCAACTGCAGCAGCAGCAGTAGTACTACGTAGAAGGAGAAGGAATACGTAAGCTACAATAGGAAGGACAGGGGCACATCACAGTCATGCCACAACCACATACCATACCGCCCCACATTTGCACACGGTGTGGCGGGGGGGCACAAAAAGATGCTGATGTCATTGACAAACGGTAAACGGGAACGGGAACGGAATCAGGTGGCGACCGCATTTTGAGTTAATACAAATTAAACTCACAGTGAGCTTTGCTCGCTGAAAACCCACTCGGGGGAGAGCTTTCCCTAATGAGCAAGTTGCAGGCCTGCCCCCCCCCCCCCTCCCCCCCACCCCCTGATCCCGTTAAATATTTACGAAGATTTCACAGTTATTCCTCCTCATAATGAAAGGCAGAGGCGTACGGATTTCGGGGGCGGCACAACTTTTCCCAAAGAACTCCTCTCGCTAATTGCAAAAGAAGAGGCACCGCGAGAGAGAGGGAGAGCGAGAGAGTGAGAGCGCGTACAGAATCAAGGCTCGAGATGGTTTCGAGCTTATTGGAACCACGGTGCGGTGACGAGGCGGCAAGCCAGAGTGGGAGTGGGAATAGGCATGGGTTTCGAAAGGAAGCAGAGCAGCAGCAGCAGCAGCAGGAGCCAAGAGCATGCTTTCTCCTTTTTCTTTGTGTGCGTTATGTGGTATGTATATATAAATATATACATGTGTGTGTGTGGGTGTGTGTGTGGTGAGCTTAGGCTTTATGGGCGATTGGTGTGCGGGTGGGGGCTCAGGCGATTTGTTGCGTGCGGTGTTTCTATGCGCGTACGCTGCTGCTACTTTTTGCGAGCTTTTTCCTTTTGGCCTGCGCACACATACATACCTCGCTCTCTGTGGGTGTGTATGTGTGTGCACTACAGTACACTAAAAGTCAATTGACCCGAAACTGTTTTTACATGAACACACATACCCATGTACATATGTATGTGCAGATGTATTTAATTAACATACACATATGTTTATAACTGTACATAGGCCAGGGGCAACAACTGCAGCCAACACAAATTTTGGTATTTCTTCAGCTGTTTGTTAGTGTGTGGGAGTGAGAGACATGAGATTCGAGTCTTACTGGTACAAAAAAAATTCTTTCTTTATTTTGTTTATTTTTTGTATTTTTTTTTTTTTTTTTTTTTTTTGGTCTCTGTACATTTGTTGCTGCTCTCGCTCTATAATTAGCGCAATTTGTGTAAATCTCTTTTACGCTTGTATTTGTGTGCTGTGCTTCATTCCATTCCTGTTTCCCAATTATTATTTTCTTTTTTTTTTGCACATGTTCTTTACTTTTAATGCTCAATTCTGTGTTGCTTTATAATTTTTTTTTTTCATTTTGCGTTTGTTTTTTCCCTCTTTGTCTCGCACGCGTTCTCTTTGTATTAATCTTCTTCCACAGACCTCTCTTTTTGACTCATTCTCGACGCTTCTTCGAGTTTCTTTGCAGTTGGGGCTGCAATTGTCCATTGAGCGCAAATTGCTAATTGAACAAAATATGCACACATGCTCCACCTGTTAATGCCTGTCACTTACCCCCCACCACCAACTCTACTACACTCAATTATAGAGACAATGCGAATGCTTTCAACTGTTAAACTGCATGGCTGCCGTGTGCACGAGGGAGACCAGATTATCACTCAATTACACACCTACACACACACGAACAAACGAGTACCGTCAGATTAATTGAGAGATTTGTGTGATGCTGATCTTATTGAGTGTAATGGTAATGAGAAGAAGAGAGGGGAGAGAGACCGGTGCTCTCTGGTTACTGTTGTCCTCTCACTCCCACTTGTACTGTACATTATCACTTTAAATATGCCTTGCAGCAGTGCATTCAATTATATGGCTGGTGCAAGTGGAGGCGCAAGTGCAGGAGGTGGAGGTGGGAATGAGAATTTGGAATGCATGCGATTGCTTAATCGGTATCACAATTATTAATGAATGGGCTGCAATTACTGCATTTCCATTTGGATGGATGGTTCGCTGACGCTTCCGCGGATTGGTGCGAATGTGGGGGCGTGTGTGGGAGCCGGTTCAGCTGGACAATGACTTTATGTTGGAATATTTGATTTGAAGAATTAGTATTAGACCGACTACTGCCATGCAATTTCCGATTAAATGAGCACATGTGCATACGACAGTGTGTTTCATGGGTGTGTGTGTGGACCTTGGAATGAAACTCGAGGGAAACCTTGAGGGGAGATACCCCTGGAGTTTTGGTCCGGAGGAGTTGTCAAGCATCCTCCGTACGTAGCACGAAGATACACAGAGAAAGAGAAAAATAAGGAGAGAGAGAGAGAGCATAAATGTGACAAAAACAAATTTCAAAAAATCTCGTGGCACACGGTGCGATGCTGGCAGCGACTGCGCAGCGTTTGGCGCTAGCAGCAGCAGCAGAAAAAAGGAGCCGTTATATGCTTTTCTCGAATCCTCTTTCACCGCCCCCGCTTTCACCCAACTCACTCAAAAGCATGAACATTTTTCGTTGCTTTTGCTTTTTGGGTGTCCTGCCACTAACACACACACACACACATATATATATATATATATATACCGTAATTTACGTGGGGCTCTCTCTAAGTGAAAATCTCTTGCTTACACACACACCACCACACTTGCAAGTTTTCTTCTTGTTGAATTTTCGTATTTCCCTTTTGGCAGCAGCCGCCTTTTTAGCACTTGATTTTCGCATTGTTTTGTGGCACACACGAAAAAAAAATATATCAAGATCGGGGGAGGAGAGGTCCAAAGATGACTAATAAGTATGAAAAAATGTACATAGCGGAATGTACACACGCAGGTATGCACACACTCACCCACACACTCGCAATCGAACACGCTATGTACATGTCATGTATGTATTTATAATGTTATTTTTTACCGTTGCGTTGCACTCGCGGAACGAGAAATCCATTAATTTGTGTCCGAATTATTCAAATTGGAACATTTTTTTTGTGAACAATAACGAAAAAAAAACTACATTTCCATACACTTGCAGCATGACTTGGAGGCTTAGGTAGGTCGTTCTTATTTACATGCTACAACAGTATGTATGCATATTTATTCATATATACACACACACACATGTGTGTTTGTGTGCGATTCCAATTGGTGTTTGTTTGCTAGCTTTTTTTTAAGCTGCTCAACTCCGCGCTCCGGCTTTTCTTTACTTTTCTCCTTTTGAGTGACACCTTCAACAAGCCACTCTCCCCCCTTTCTGAGTGTGTGTGCGTATTGCACAATTTTTTTTTGGGGGAAAAAATAGCATAGCACGACAAAAAAAAAACAATGAAACCAATCTGCTTGGCAAATTTACCTCTTAATTCTTTGTATAGCTCAATATTCTACTTTCGGTTTCACTCAAACGGTCTGCAGATGATGCAGGAACAGAGCGCTGTTGCAGAGATAATGCACACAAATTCCTGATGCTGCTCACGCAGAGTCGCACGCACGATATGGAGACGATTACAGACAGCCGTAAACAAACGCGCAGCGCCAAATGCAGCAAATGCAAAACCCAAACTGTTGTAATTAAATATTAAATTAAGCGTAGAGGTAGAGAACTATCGATGGCACTTTCGCACTATCGATGGTAGGGCACTATCGCGCTACTAAACTATCGATGGTTCAATGTTTCGATAGTGGACGATAGTATAGTTTACCCATCAGCAAAGACAATTTGTGCGCATTTATTCAAAAGAAAGAAATGGATCGCTTCTTTTAAAAAGGTAATACACTTCGCAAGCAATTAGAAAGTATGTTTACGAAATTTTTGTCTAATTTAAGGCAAACGTCGCAGTTCTGCAGCGAATTGCGAGTGTACCTTAAAGGATATATTGACATCTTGGAACGTCTTGAATAAAATGCTTTGTATTGTAACTGACAATGCCAGCTCAATGCTGAAAGCATGTGAAAACTTAAAGATAAAAAATCTGCCATGTTGCGCCCACACAATTAATTTGGTGGTCCAAGATGGTTTAAAGCTTGACCATGACGATGTTTCAAAAGCTTTATTTTCAAAATGTAAAACCATAGTGAGGTTTTTCAAATATATATTGCGAAAGAAAAATTAAAATTAGTTCAGGAACATTTCGCATATACTTTGTTGCAGGAAACCCCAACAAGATGGAACAGCTTTCTCATTATGATACAGAGAATATAGAACAGCTTTCTCATTATGATACAGAGAATATAAGCAACTCATGAATCCATTGCTAGTGTGTTATTATCCACCACAAATGCACCGCTACCATTTACTGCCGAGGATATAAATACTTTGAAAGATTTAGGAAAAATATTGTAATTTTTTAAGCAAGTTTCCGAAAAGATTTCTGGTGGGAAATATGTGACAATTTCATTGATAATACCATTGGCATATGGACTTTATCGTCATGTCGAAAATCTTTCAACACAGTTAAAAACTGAAATAGGGGAAAATATGAAAAATGCTTTATTGGAGTCGATAAAAAAACGCCTATCTACATATGAGCAACGGACTGTAACTAGGATGGCCACGATATTAGATCCGCGCTTCAAGAAAGATGGATTTCAGCTAAACTCAAATGCTGAACAAGCTTCAGTCTTTCTTGAAAATGAATTGGTCAATTTGGCTAATAATGAAAACCCTGTTAACTTGGATGTTGAAGCAAACACTACAACAGAGGACTCATTTTTAATGATTTTTTGAACCAACGATCCATTAGTAAGAAAAGGAATGTGCGATCGGATGCGATCATAATCAAAATGCAGTATCTGGAGAGAGACCTTGCCCCCCAAGAAATGGATCCTCTATTATGTATTAAGGTAAAAATAATATATAAAATAATCGACACTTTTATAATAATTATTTTATTTTAATTTAATCGCAGGTCAACCAAACAGACTTTCCATTACTAAAATCATTGATATTTAAATATTTATGCATCCCAGCTACTTCTGTGGTGTCGGAAAGGGTTTTTAGCAAGGCCGGGCAAATTGTCTCTGATAAGCGAACAAGGCTCAAGGAAGAAAATGTAAACGTTCCGCTGTTTTTAAATACAAATCTTTGGTTACAATACAATACAACAGAATCCAAGAAATACAAAAATTTAAATATATATTAAGAATACAAATATATGAACAACATACAGAGTTTTTTAACTTTTATTATTTTTACCTTCTAGTTGGACCGCATATTGCATTTAGAATGTTAATAATGCTTTTAGCATCGAATCAACCGTCTTTTTACACTTTTAAAAACACTCATTTTTATTACGACTATCGACCACTATCGATGGTACTATTGACCAATATCGATTGTTTTAAAAATACTATCGTCCACTATCGCCCACTATCGAACCATTGAACCATCGATAGTTTAGTAGCGCGATAGTGCCCTACCATCGATAGTGTCGATAGTGACATCGATAGTTCTCCACCTCTACTGGGCATTATTTATGTATTTGTTGTAAACAAAAAGAGCGCGATTTTGTGCAAAAATCGTTGTCTACAATAATAAAATGCACATCAAGCAGGTGGGTAAACAGTGCTGCACAAGCCCACATGCTGGCTACAACGAACTCCGATCGAATTCCAGATTATTATACAAGGCTTTAAAAGTTACAAGGACCAGACGGTGGTGGAACCATTTGACAAGCGTCACAACGTTGTGGTCGGACGCAATGGCTCCGGCAAGAGTAACTTCTTCTACGGTGAGAAAACAGATAGAGACCATACCTAACGACTGGATGATTACCGATTCCTGATTTCTGATTCCATCGTTTGTGTTTTTCCACTTCCCAGCCATTCAATTCGTTTTGAGCGATGAATTCACACATTTGCGGCCCGAGCAGCGACAATCGCTGCTGCACGAGGGCACGGGGGCGCGCGTCATCTCCGCCTATGTGGAGATCATCTTTGACAACACGGACAACCGAGTGCCGGTAAGTCCCTGGATGTTTCGCTGTGTATTCATGCAACTAAAGTGATTTTCCATGCGTGTGTGTGTCTATGTAAAGATTGACAAGGAGGAGATATTCTTGCGTCGCGTGATTGGGGCCAAGAAGGATCAGTATTTCCTCAACAAGAAGGTGGTGCCGCGCAATGAGGTGGTCAATCTGCTGGAATCGGCTGGCTTCTCCAGCTCCAATCCGTATTACATTGTGAAACAGGGCAAGATCAATCAGATGGCCACCGCAGCCGACTCCTATCGTCTGAAGCTGTTGCGCGAGGTGGCCGGCACGCGTGTGTACGATGAGCGCAAGGAGGAGTCGCTGAATCTGCTGCGTGAGACGGATAGCAAGGTGGAGAAGATCTCCGAGTATCTGAAGACCATCGAGGATCGGCTGCAGACACTCGAGGAGGAGAAGGAAGAGCTCAAGGAGTACCAAAAGTGGGACAAGACGCGGCGCACCCTCGAGTACATACGCTACGAAACGGAGCTGAAGGACACCAGGAAGGCCCTCAGCGAGCTGCTCACGCAGCGCAAATCCTCCTCCGACAAGAAGAAAACGTACAACATTGAGATCCAGAAGGCGCAGGAGAAGATCAAGGATGTGCAAAAGAACCTGAAGGAGGCCAAAAAGAAGGTGCAGAGCACCAAGGAGGAGCGCTCCGTTCTGATGACCGAACAACAGCAGCTGCTGCGCGAAAAGACCAAATTGGATCTGACCATCGTGGATCTGAACGATGAGGTGCAGGGCGACAACAAGTCCAAGGAGCGGGCTGATCAGGAGCTGAAAAACCTCAAGGTGACGATAGCCGAGCGCGAAAAGGAGCTGGACGACGTCAAGCCCAAATACGAGGCCATGAAGCGCAAGGAGGAGGACTGTTCCCGCGAGCTGCAGCTGAAAGAGCAAAAGCGCAAGGAGCTGTACGCAAAGCAGGGCCGGGGCTCGCAGTTCTCGTCGCGCGAGGATCGCGACAAGTGGATCCACAACGAGCTCAAGTCGATTAGCAAGCAGACCAAGGACAAGATCAATCACCATTCAAAGCTGGTGGAGGATCTGCGCAAGGATGCCACCTCCGAGAAGGACCTGGGCCAGAAGATCGAGGAGCACTCCTCCGAGCTGGAGCAGCTCCGCCTCCAGATCGATGAGCACAACAAAAAGTACTATGAACTAAAGAAGACCAAGGACCAGCATCAGTCCATGCGCAACGAACTCTGGCGCAAGGAGACCCAGATGACCCAACAGCTGCAGACCCAAAAGGAAGAGCTCTCCCGCGCCGACCAGGCGCTGCGCAGCATGGCCGGCAAACCGATCCTCAATGGCTGCGATTCGGTGCGCAAGGTCCTCGACAGCTTTGTGGAGCGTGGCGGCCAGTCCGCAGAGATTGCACGCGCCTACTACGGCCCCGTGATTGAGAATTTCAGCTGCGACAAGACCATCTACACGGCCGTGGAGGTGACCGCCGCCAATCGGCTGTTCCATCACATTGTGGAGTCCGAATACGAGGGCACCCAGATCCTCAAGGAGATGAACAAGCTGAAGCTGCCCGGCGAGGTGACGTTCATGCCCCTGAACCGGCTCCAGGTGAAGATCCACGACTATCCCGACGATCCCGACTCCATACCAATGATATCGAAGCTCAAGTACGACGAACAGCACGACAAGGCGCTGCGGTATATCTTTGGCAAGACCCTGATCTGCCGCAACCTGGAGCGGGCCACCGAGTTGGCCAAGAGCACGGGCCTGGACTGTGTGACCCTCGATGGCGATCAGGTGTCGTCGAAGGGCTCGCTCACCGGCGGCTACTTTAACACCTCACGCTCCCGCCTGGAGATGCAGAAGAAGCGCACCGAATACTCGCAGCAGATCGCCGAGTTCGAGAAGAAGCTGAGCAAGCTGCGCAACGAGCTCAAGTCCACAGAGAACAACATCAATTCGATTGTGTCCGAGATGCAGAAGACAGAGACCAAGCAGGGCAAGTCGAAGGATGTCTTCGAGAAGGTGCAGGGCGAGATCCGGCTGATGAAGGAGGAGCTGGTGCGCATCGAGCAGTATCGGGCGCCCAAGGAGCGCTCGCTGGCCCAGTGCAAGGCCTCGCTGGAGTCGATGGACAGCACCAAGGTCAGTCTCGAGGCCGAGCTCAAGCAGGAGCTGCAGTCGACGCTCTCCTCGCAGGATCAGCGCGAGATCGATCAGCTAAACGATGACATTCGTCGCCTGAACCAGGAGAACAAGGAGGCCTTCACCCAGCGCATGCAGTTCGAGGTGCGCAAGAACAAGCTGGACAATCTGCTGATCAACAATCTGTTCCGGCGTCGGGACGAACTGATTCAGGCCCTGCAGGAGATCTCGGTGGAGGACCGCAAGCGCAAGCTGAACAACTGCACCACGGAGCTGGTGTCCGCGGAGAAGCGGATCAAGAAGGTGAATTCCGATCTGGAGGAGATCGAGAAGCGGGTGAACGAGGCCGTGCAGATGCAGAAGGAGCTCCAGCTGGAGCTGGAGACGCATGTCCGCAAGGAGAAGGAGGCCGAGGAGAACATCAACAAGGACTCCAAGCAGCTGGAGAAGTGGACCACCAAGGAGAACATGCTCAATCAAAAGATCGACGAGTGCACCGAGAAGATAGCCAGCTTGGGCGCCCTGCCGCTGGTGGATGCCGACTACAGCCGCATCTCGCTGAAGAACATCTTCAAGGAGCTGGAGAAGGCCAATCAGCATCTGAAGAAGTACAATCATGTGAACAAGAAGGCACTCGATCAGTTCCTCAGCTTCTCCGAGCAGAAGGAGAAGCTCTACCGTCGCAAGGAGGAGCTGGACGTGGGCGATCAAAAGATCCACATGCTCATCCAGTCGCTGGAGATGCAAAAGGTCGAGGCCATACAGTTCACCTTCCGTCAGGTGGCACAGAACTTTACCAAGGTCTTTAAGAAGCTGGTGCCCATGGGCGCCGGCTATCTGATACTCAAGACGAAGGACAACGAGGGCGAGGAAATGCAAAAGGAGGTGGCCAATTCGGATGCCTTCACGGGCATCGGTATACGCGTCTCCTTCACCGGCATCGAGGCGGAGATGCGGGAAATGAATCAATTGTCGGGTGGGCAAAAATCTCTGGTCGCCCTGACCCTCATATTTTCCATACAAAAATGCGATCCAGCTCCGTTCTATCTATTCGATGAGATCGATCAGGTGAGGTCTATTTGAAAACAACAATTTGTATACCATTTTTTAACGATCTGTGATTTCGTTGTGGCACAGGCCCTGGACGCCATGCATCGAAAGGCGGTGGCGGACATGATCCACGAACTGAGCGACACGGCACAGTTCATTACGACCACTTTCCGGCCGGAGTTGCTCGAGAATGCCCACAAGTTCTACGGCGTACGGTTCCGCAATAAGGTCAGCCACATCGACTGTGTGACCCGCGAGCAGGCCAAGGACTTTGTGGAGGATGACAACACCCATGCCTAGATACCTAGGACCTAGGACACACGTATCATACTAATTTCGGATTATTCACATTTTTTTCTACCAGAGATATGAATTATGATTTATTATTTTTCAATGTTATACTTTTTTCCTTAACCTCTTCGATTTAGTTTCGCTTTAAGATGTCGTCGAGTTCGAGTCCAGTCCCCCTCTGTCGCGTTCTTTGTGTCCCAGCCCCCCGTCTCCTATTTATTCCGATACAGATACAGATAAAGATATATAAATATATATAGATATAGACACACAGACAAGGAGAATGAGAGTTTCCAGAGTAGCTCCGATGCCCCCCACACACCACATATAGAAATAAATTTAAATAGATTTACAATAACAATAAAAACGTGTACTAAAAATAGTTTAAGTCCCAGACGAAGGGCCTGTTTAAGTTAAGGAATCCGCGAGGATGAGAACCGATTTGAACCAGCTCGTGGAGTACAATGTGGCGGCATTCAGGCAGGACGATTGTTGCCTGCCCACGGTCACCGTTGCTGCTTTCAGACCTGCCTTCTGGTTCTCGCTCCCAGCCTATGGTGCGCATCGCCACAGTTCGTTGGACGAGGCATCGCTGAGCTGCCCTGCCAGATTCTGGCCGTCTGCATAATCATTGGAAGATACTTTTTGGCCAACTTGTGGGACACCCGTGCAGAGACTAGTACATCAGCAAAGAGCATGGGGTTGGAACACTTAAATCGTATACGAAACAAGAAGCTTAACCGAAAAGGCCTTTGCCTATGCAGATCTCCAGGAAAATGTTCCAAAAACTCCATTGAAGACATCTGGATGGGATGCTAAAAGAAGGCGGATTTTTCAATCATCTTATGATTTATTTTTACTACAAAACGCATACAAATCCTAATCAATCGGAAACCTTAAATGTCACGGGAGGTGTTATCAAAAGGGGCAAGAGCAGTGGCTCTCAGCTGACATCCAATTGCTCCTGAATGGCATTGATGGCAAAGATGACGGAGAAGCACATGCCCACCGTTCCGACCTCCAGTTGGGTGATCTTGAACTGCAGCGGCAGGCGCCACAGGACAAAGTGATTCATGAGTACGAGCAGGGCCAGGCCCAGCGACCACCAGAACTCATCGACGATGGCAATGTGCCACAGACAGTAGATGTTCCAGACGACACACAGCCCCAGGTTGGCGGCATCCAGCTGCACGATCTTTGCCCCCAAGGCGCTACGGCCGCCAAGGCACTGATTGCTGATGGCCAGTGTCAGAGTGGTGGACCACAGCATCACGGAGATCCATTGCCAGTCGGCGCCGGCAATCGTACCCAACTGCAGTCGGCTGTTCAGGTGCTGTAGTTCGCCGATGATGAGGGTGATAAAGAGCACCGAGGCGTAGCGGCGCGATTTGTCGCAGATGAGGCGCTGCACTGTGCCGGGATTGGGGTGTGTGTGCCGCAGCAGACACAGCAGGCTGTGGCCAAAGAAAATGCCAAAGGCGGCCTGGGCATAGCGGCCAATGCTGTGCTTTAGTCCCAGTCCCGAGCTGATGGCCAAGACGAAGTGGATCAGGCAGAGGGACAGCTTCGAGGAGCCACCAATACCCGAGCCGGCCCCAGGCCCGGGACCGGCACTGTGTCCGTGTCCGTGTCCAGCAGCTGCACTCCCCTTATTACTGTTGGCCATCGAGGAAAAGCCGGTTTTCAGGCAACAACAACTGTGGGTGGGGGCTTCTTTGCGGCAATTCCTGGTCGGCTATATATATATACTATATATTATATTGATATATCGATATATGGGTACAGTGACGAACACAAGTATTGGCCCAATGGACTTTTCAGTTGGCTACTGTTTTCATAGCATATTCATTAAGAATTGTTAAATAAAAATAGTTTCATTCGATAATATGATACATTTTTCTTGAAATTGCCTAATGGTTAAAAGAATAGTTATATGGCATTTTTTTCAAAATCAATTTTTAACTCTAGTTCGATCGATTTGGTTCCCCTCTGTAGGTCACACACCTCTTAACCGACGTTATTTTAATATCGATAGCTATCGATACATTATGAAATTAGCGTTGTATCTATCGATAGTGGTGACACTTTGTCGATAGCCACGGTACGTTAGACATAGACGCCCATAAGCGAGCAGCATTATCCGTAACATGGCGCGGATCTGCATACCCTGGGGAAATGTATATTATAGAATTGAGGTAATGTTTGTTACCCCAAGCTCCAAAAACGATATTTTGCACTTTGTTGCCTTCTTGTGGAGACCAAGTATGAGTATCGCGATCAGGATTTGTATACAGGAAGCTAATCATATGATTGAATACGTCTTAAACATCTCAATTTGAGATTTGAAAATTTCCTTATTAATTACGTTTTAAAAACAGTTTGGAGAAAAGTATCTTCAAATAGGGTATACAAAAGTCCATACGGTTGATAAGCAAAAAGTCTTCAAATCCAGCAACATTGACATGACAAAATTGCGACTATTTTTTTTGAACTATTTTGCTTAAACCTTTTTTTAGACAAGATACAATAAAAAGAAGTATTTCAATTAAACCAGTTAAGTGGAAAGTCGATTCATTAATCGTATAAAATTATGTGGGTATGGCTGAAGGTTCATCTAACTAGTAATATTCCACGGAACATCAAAATCGAGGAATATGGTTTCCAATCCTTGACGGCTAACGATTAACCCATTGCAAGCCAAGGGGGAATTTTAATATTCCACCCAAAATAATTCAAATATAATCATTTTAGCGCAATTCAGGTGAAAGATTTCGTTGTTTTTTTTTAAGTTCAGAGCAAAGATGGCATGGATCTGCAAGAAGAATTTACAATCGTTAATATTTTCCGCCATTTACCTCAAGTGGTTGAACTATTTAAAAAGAGGGGGCTTGAGTGGGCTAAGTTCGGTTTTTCATCACACTGGTTGTTGTTAACAAATCGAGTTGTTAAATGGCAACGCAAATGCGTAAAAAGTCGCCGTTGAGCCCTCTAATCGCGAAGAACCTGGTGGCCAACCACCGCGGCAGTTAATATCCAGATCCAGGCAGCAACGGGTCCAGCCAGGCAGGCAGCATAGCATCCCCGCAGCGCAGAACAAGTGCCAGCGCGAATCGGGCCTGGGAACCAAAAGCTCCAATTGGACCTATCCGATCGGATTCCCTTCCCGATTAGAGTTACGTGAACGGAGCGCGGGAGAAAGTAGACAAAAACAGAGAAACATAAGCAGAAGATTTCGTTGCCTGCCAGATGAAAGCAGCAGTCGATCGTCGGTCGACGCTATGAACGCCAAGAAACGCCAACGTCTGGACCTGGGGCTGGAACTAGCTGCCTCGACGGCCCTGGCTACTGGAGCAGCAGGTGGATCAGCAGCAACTGCCACAACGACCACGACAGCCGAGCTATCCGATGCTTTGTTAGCCAGTTCGTTTGGCAATGGCCAGAGCCTGTTTCTCACCAGCGCCGGCAATGGCAGCGGCGGTGCCCAGATCCTTTTGACCATCTGCGGTGACGAGAACTCGGATGAGTCGCAGGAGTACTATGCCATCAAGCAGGAGCCCGATATGGATTTGAATTCACTGCTGCCGAACAACCTACAGCTGCCCACTGGCTGTGAGATCTATCTGGTGAAGGACACCACAATCAGTTCGCCCATCCAGCTGAGTGGACACAACCATACCCATTCCCATACCCACACACAGACCCAGACCCAGACGCACACTCAAACCCAGAGCATTCCGCCAAAGGCAACCATCAAACTGGAGCCGGATTCGATGAGCGACCGCTGTGGTCTCACTGTAAATAAGCTATGCACATCGTCCACGAATATTCTGTACGTGAGTAACGGCGGCAGTGGCGGGCATTCACATCCCTTCACAAATGCTACGGCAACGCCAGAAACCACGACATCAACAGGAACAGGATCAGCAGCAGGAACACCAAAACCAAATCAATCTGTGGCGGCAACGATAGCCAAAGTGGCGACAGCAGCAGCCGCCGCATCTACAGCCGCCACATCTACAAGCAAAATGCGTGCTCTGAAGCTGGTCGAGGAGACGCATGTGGGAGGAGCAGCAGCAGCAGCAGCCAGCACGGCCAGTGCGGTTGGTACTACGGTGTCTGCCACAGCCACTGCCACCTCTAAATTGGATGCGTACAAGAAGCGGGACGATAAGCGCCGTGCCACGCACAACGAGGTGGAGCGGCGACGTCGCGACAAGATCAATTGCTGGATCTTCAAGCTGAAGGAGATGCTGCCCGCCGAGGGCAGCCGCTACAGGCCACCACCCCCCAGCAGTGGGCAAATGGAGTCGGTGAGCATCAGTCTGAGTTCGAGCACCAGCGAGGCCAGCACCAGTCCCGGCCTCAGAATCAACCCGAGCGCCAATGGACGGACGCCGCCCAACGACTCCAAGTCGCAGATATTGATCAAGGCCTGTGAGTACATCAAGAGCATGCAGGGCGAGATAGACAAGTGAGTAGAGAAAGAACGATAACGAGAACGGGAGAGTGGAAAGGAAAGGGTCATGTCATCTGATACATACATACGTATATTTTGTATATGCAGCTTGCGCGAGGGCCTGCGTGAGGCGGACAAGCTGCGTGTGACCAATAAGACGCTGCGGGATGAGCTAAACAGCTTGAAGCGTCAGCAGGAGCTGCAGGAGCGCTTCCACACCAGCACCGGCGGTGGATCGTTTAATGTGACGCTCAATTCGTTGAATAGCTCTGCTACCAGTGACCTGTTCGATGGCATAGATGGGCCACACCAAGGCGTCGGCATGGGCATGGGCATGGGGATGGGTATGGGGGCCTTTGGCAAACGCGGTCTCATGATAGCCGACTTCGATGAATAGGGTAATAGGTATAGGAGGGGTTTGGCGCTAGCGCTGGCGCTGGGTAAAACGCCCCCCGCCGCCGCCCACCCTCTACCACACCAGCCTCAAGCATCCTCCAAAGAACGACGTACCACGTACAATAAATTTGGAAAGACAAGGGATTTCCTGTTATCGCTGTTAAAACATTACATATTTATATAGAACAAAAACTCTACTATTAATTAATTAATTAATTTTAAACTTATTTTTTTTTTGAGAGCACGGATCCTCATAACATTTTTTTGCCATATCCTTCCTCTGTTGATTGAAGGTTAATCGTATCTCATGCCATACATCCCTCAACATATACATATGTAGTACTCATAATATTACGAAGCCTACGATACCTACTTAAACCTTTTGTCTTAAGCATCCATTTATGCCATTTTCCCTTTTACAAAGAACTACAACAAAATGAAACATTATTATATATACCCATACGCCCCACACCCCACTCCATATACTTGGATTTATCCATCCCATATACATATATGTATACTATCATATGTATATCCTATAAAGTTAACGATACCTACCTACTACTTATACCTTTTGACTAAAGCATACTACATACAAACATTCATACGACATACATACACATACACATATGTATTTGTGAGGCACACACACACATATTGGCCATTGTGGCTGTGTGTGTGTGCTCGTTTTTTCGATTTTAATACCGTAACGTACTGTTTCTCGCACTAATTACCTAAAGAAAAAAGATAAACTTGAAGATATATGCTATACGTTAATGATATATAAGATATATATTATATATATATGAACACGGTATACCCTCCACACCACACAGCTCCCCCCATTTTGTACATATAAATTTGTGCTACAAATCGAATGAAGAAAAATGAAAGAAAGTAAGAAAGGGCTAGATTCCCAGTACTCCATATAGCTCCTCTTTTCTGGATGATGATGATGATGTTGTTAGGGGGAGAACCGTGAGCGTATTGTTGATAGTATGGTAACCCAGATAGTTGAATATACATAAATAATATTATTATAATAGTTAAAAATACATAAATTGTTGTGAATGTTATATCATTGTTTTCGATATATGATGTTTCCAAAGTATACACACATAAAGAAAAGCGATTTATATATTTCATAAGTTGACTAGCATAAATATATATATATATATATATTATATATCACACACACACAAACACACACACAACAACAACAACAACAAGATGAACAAATGTTACAAATCGAAAGAGAATTACGGGGAGTAAATCGGAATTGCATTGTACCGGAGACTCCCATATAATTATCATAGGCATAGCATCATTGACGATAAACAATGGACAGAACGGGGGGGAAATTTGTGTTAATTGTTGCTATCTATATACAAAAAAAATACCATACAATAATATCATATATATTTCTGTCGTTTGACAGCCAATAATTCTATTCAATTTCAATAAACGGAATCAATAATGGTTAACGCGAACACACAAACAATTCTATTTATCATTTTCTCATTCAAATTCTCTTACAAATGCGGGCCCTTTCATGACCCTTTCAAACAAATACAAGAGTATTTGGCATGTACTGCACATATATGTGGGTTGATTCATAAGAAATGATACTTTTTCTCAGGCAAAAAAAGATTTCAGCTCGATATTTGTTTCTGTTTTGATTAAAGTCTCTCCTCAAATGATATTTATCCGTAAAGTAAATCCGATTCCCTGTCTAGACTTTTGTTTGGATTAAGTGAAGATGATACCCATGCGCTTCCTTTGAATAATTGCCATGATCGATCATGTTACACATGATTTTAATGGGCATGAATGATTTCCAGCGAAGAATTTGTTTAATGTTTAAAAGTCGTCTAGTGTCTAATGATAATATTTCACACAGATATTCGTATTTCTGGCTGGGCTTAACGATGATATCCATGAGAGAGCAGTTGGGGCTTCCATTTAATGTTTATTAATATTTATAATATTGCAAGGCGATAAGGATTTGATCTTTCCGAAATCATTGGAGCAGGCTGACGATTGAAATAAAAGAAAACCTCGGGATGTCACAGCCCCAGTCCCTATAGCAGAAAGTTAGAAGTACAAGAAGGAACACTGAACAGTGGGTACAACCCACTGCTGAGGATGCTCGTGAAGCCTACAGTTGGCACGTGCAGAGGGTCCCATCCCATTTCCTAGACAAGCAAAGGAGGGATATATTTTGGTTGTGGACTAAATGCGGACCAGATACAAAGCTCGAATAAAATGCATCTAAATTGTGTCTCTATATCTGTATATATCATTTATATAGATAATTAATAAGAACTCAGCTCACCGCTAACCTAAATTTGATCAAAATCTCATAGAAGCCATGCATTAGATATGGAATTGTATAAATGGTTATTATAGAAAAGACATTTCGAAAGCTGATACAAATCAAGTGCAATACTTAAAAATAGATAACGAATCTGGAAGATTGTGGACGTGAGATAGTGGGATTAATGCGCTATCCATCCGCAGTGGTAGTCACTCGCCGGGCGTACTCCCCGATGTGCAGTAGGCCGTGCTCCACTGAGGCTATGTGCAGGTTGTGGCCGCTCATGTAGTCCGCATTGATGTGGGGATTCTGCAGCTCCGAGATGAGTGTCGAACAGGCGGCCGCTGGATCGCCAGTGCCGACAAGATTTCCCTGGAATATCGTTCAGTGAGATGGGATGGGGAGAGGAGAGAGACAACTAAGTCACTTACCGCCCAGAATTCATTGCCGGGCAGGGCATTGCCATCCCAGGCATAGGTAACCACCGGCAGCATGTCCTCGTCCAGCTTGTCGGCCGGATTGCGGGCGGAGATGCGTATGCGGATGCCCGTCTGCGGCATGGTGGCGCCGTCGTGCAGGCTGCGCACCCGCTCCAGGTGGAACCACGAGAAATGCACCACCCCGATGTGGGTGAGGCGATCGCCCAGGGCCAGCAGCCGCTCCTCGAAGGCCTGGAAGAAGAGCTCCTCCTGCTTCTCGGTTACCTTCCACACGCCCAGACCGATGCCCACGACATGGATGTAGGCGGGCTTGCCTGCCGCCACACCACGGGCTTGGGCCTCCAGCAGCAGGGTGTCGAAGCTGATGGCGTACCGCTTTTTCATGATCAGATTGTCGAAGATGAGATCGCCGGGCTCAGCACATGAGAAACGCTGCCCATCCACCGCGGCTTCTGTGTATTTAAAGTCCCTCGGCTCCTCATAGAACCCGCGCCAGAGCCGCCGGTAGTCGGAGGCGCGAGTGGCATTCTCGGTCGAGTCGAAGCCATAGCCATTGGCCTCAATGTTCTGTGTGGGCGAGATGATAATGTCCTGGTACTCCATCACATGGGGACGCTCGAAGCGGGCACCGATCAGGCCCACGATGACGCCCTCCCTCTCGATGGTGCTCTTGTCCTGGGTCACCTCGCCGGCATTGGACCGTCGTCCGTTGTTGATGAACTCCGAGTGCGTGGAGACATAGAGGAGGGCCGACAGCTTGATCTCGTCGTAGCTGAGCACGTCGGCCAGCAGGAGAGGTGGCACTTCTGTTGCGCTGCCCACCGACTCGAAGCCCTCAAAACCAACGCTACCGTCCAGCAGACGGTAGTAGTCCCCGCCACCGAAGAACCACACACATCGTTTGCTCAGCAGACGCTGCACAAAGCCCACCAGAGACATGCCCTTGTATACGCTCTTCTCCCGGCTGTTGCCGAACTCCAGTTTGTGCTCCAGGAAGCTGATGTATAGGAGCAGGGTTCGCTCGTGTATGACGGGATAGGCGGACGCCACCTGCTGCTGAATGTTCGCGAAGCGGCCCGCCGGCTGCGCCTTAACCCGGCAGGTGTCGGTCGGAAACTGCAGATTGAAATGGAGGTAAGCCCGAGATGGTGCTGCTGGTCTTCGCTTACCTCAACGGGAAACTTGTCCGATAGGGCCATGAGCTTGTCCAGATTCACCTGCACCCGGGGCTCCTCCACCTCCCGGCACTGGTTTAGCAGCCCAATACCAGTGACTGTTCTGGGCATGGCCGGTTGCTCCTTTGGCCATGTCTGGCAGGTGGCACCGCGTGTATTTGCCATGACTCGACTAATCGATAAGACTTGCAGCAACGATTTGAGCAGGTTGATTCGCGTCACTGGAAACCGCATACCCCCCTTCTGCTTTCCAATTAGGGGGAAGAACGCTTGGCGCTGTTGGGCTTGAGCACAGCAGCTGTTTGCTGCAGTGTTGGAAAGCGCACTAAGGGCACGAATTCAAATGCAGTTTTCGAGATTGAAAATATGATTCGAGCCAGGCAGAGGCGTGGAAAATCCAGGCTGCACTTAAAGGACATCTTCAACATAGGGCAAGGCTAGACGAGGGTGTGGACCTCACCTCGTCACGACAAACCAGTCGCGACAAACAGCTGTTAGCGGCAGTGTGGGAATGCCCATCTTGTTAGTGTTTTGTTGTTGTTGTTTAAGGTTTATTACAAAAAGACTTTAATCATTCGTTTAAATTAGACTGAGACAGCTAGTCATCCCACCACACCCACCCCCCCTCGTGGTATGCGTGCGCTCCGCTACATTCCTCTTTGTTTTGTTTTCATTACACAACGCGCTTGACCTCAAAGAAGCGTTTCAGGTAGTAGACCTGGCCCACTGTCATCAGGATCAGGACCAGGGCCTCGAAAGTCGACCACAATACCACGCGGGAGTTGGTGCTCTCGTTAACCGATCGATGGATCTTATCGCGAACCTGCAAAAAAGACATCAGTAAAGGTGTGCGTTCTACTGAAAAGACCAGGCGGGGCGCGACTTACGTGCATGTACTCCTGCTCGTGCTTGACGCTGGTCAACGTGCCTGAGAGCTCACGGATCATGTCCTCGAGCTTGGTGTGACCGACCTCCTCCTCGCCAGGAGCGCCAGGCGCACGCTGCGGCGCCTCGCCCACGTCGATGGAGAACATGACCAGCTTGGGGGTCATGCTGCTTCGCTCGTTGTTGAAGCAGACCGTGTAGGTGCCCTTGGCGGGAGCCACAAACGTGTACTTGCCGGACGACTCCTTTTCGCTTTCGTGCATCACATGGTTCTCGGGGCCGCTGATCTTAATGTCCACATCCAAGAAGCCGCCATCAATTACCTCAAAAGTGACGCCTGAGCATTAAACAAAACGAGATTAATAGTTGAGGCAGGGCTTTCAGGCTTATGCGGAGAACTGCCACTCACCAAATTTGGTACCGCCTTCGACGTTCTCGAAAAAGCACTCTTCGTTGTGTGCATCTACGCTGACTATGAAGCCCTGGCCGGCGGTGGCCAGCAGGCAAAGGCCACACAAAGTCAGCAGCAGCTTGGCGAGCGTTGGTTGCATGTTGTTATCTTAAGTTTGTAGTTTTTCCCTAGCAAAATGCTTTATTTTGCATCAATCCCGTTCGCAGCCACGTAGTTTGTGTGACGTCTCGTTTGATGAAAACCCGAACTTAGCCCACTTCAGCCCCCTCTATTTAAACAGCTCAACGACTTGAGGTAAATGGCGGAAAATATTACTGATTGTAAATTCTTCTTGCAGATTCATCTGAATTTAAAAATAACAACGCTAACTTTCACCTGGACTGAGCTAAAATATTTCGATTATCATTAATTTCGGTGGAATATTAAAATACCACCTTGGATTGTAATGGGTTAATCGTTCTCCGTCAAGGATGGGAAATCATATTGCTCAATTTTGATGTTCCGTTAAATATTATAAGGTGGATAGAACATTTAGCCATGCCCACATAGTTTTATACGATTGATGAACCTATTTCCTAATTGGCTGGCTTATTCCAAATACTTGCTTTTATTGTACTTTGACTAAAAAAATGTATAAACAAAATAGTTCAACAAAAAGAGTACCAATGATGCTGGTACATGCTGTGTGTAAGCCGTAGTATAGACCTTTGTATACCCTATTTCGTTAATTTTATATGAAGATGATATGAAGATAGAACGAAATTAAGAAAGACCTTGCTCAGATTGATAAGCTTTAGACATATTAATGCATATGATTAGGGTCTTGTAAATATATCTCGATCCCGATACCCATTCTTGGTTTCTGTAAGAAGACCAAAACCTTCAAAATATCGTTGAAAAACCTTTAAAACAGAGACTGACTAGTTTTGGCCTTTATTGGTGCATTAGATGACAAACATTCTCTCGGTTCTATAATATCCATTTCCCAGGGTATGCGAAATGTTGCTCAATCCGCGCAATGTTGTGGAACAATGCTGCCGATTTCACGGCACATGAGTCTGGCCCATACAAAATGAATGTTGCCAGTAGCATAAACGTAAGAAACGTAAGTGAGTATGGAATTTAAGGGACATTGTTGAGCTTAAAAGGACATTGAATCACGGAAAATTCTCTTTTTTCTGAAATATTTTGAAAAATGTAGATTTTGATGAAAGACGACCAGGAATTCGATGCTAATCACGAATTAGTATTCGATGTGGCTCTAAGTGGCGTTTCTACGCGATTTCTACATTGGTGCATTGGTCAAGAGGGTGGAGGTCCATAACGTGTCTTAAAATATACTGGTAAATACTAGAGGTAGACGTGGTGGCAAGAAACTCAGAGAATCCGATCCAATATACGGTCTGACCCTCAGAAATAAATATACCAAAATATACCGTCTCATTTTCAAATTATATCGTTATAATATAACGTAAATATGAATAGGATGTATACTTTTGTTTGTAGAAAATGAACTGGTTCCGATAGATCGATATGCTATGCGGCTAATGGATGGGGTGTGAACACACTGTCATCTGCTGTTATTAACATGGCATGTCGCTGGAATACCTGAACATCTGGCTGAATTCCAGCAGCAGGGTGTGTTTGAAGTAGGGCAAAAGTAAGGCTTAAGCCGCACTTAACATTCACTTAACAGCAAGAAAGCATGCTACTGGACCCACAATTTCCACCACACGAATTCGGGACAGTGCTGCCATATTAGCAGAGTTCAGGCTAGATCTAGCTTGAAACGTGGAATTAACAAAAAGCCTATTTAAGCTGTGTTTCATAGTTTTTTAAATACATTGCTTTCTTTTATCTGTAAATTTTTGAATCTATTCTGGATTTTATCGTTGCATACCAGTTTCTCTCCATTTGTTGTTGGTTTAGTAAATCAACCAACAACAACACATTTCCAATTTAGCTGCATCCAAAAATGTCCAAACAAGGATTGATTTTTGTAATATACTCTAAATATTCGTACCTTTGGCATTCTTTGGATTGGCATGATAAGTGGATATATATTTATATTTTGGAAAATATTTCCACTAAAGAACTCAAGTCTAAAAATTAAACCATCCCATACAATAAAATTAAAAAAGTCTTACTAAAAAGGACCATAAAATATGGCAGAAAACTTTAACTTTGGCTCGATACATAAATATATCTTAAGCCATTGTATCGACAATAGTTGAAAATCCTATAAGAGATCATAATATACTTCTCTTAAAAAAAGATTTTTCGGGTGGATTCCATAATCATTCAGGCCTATAATTTAGTGTTATTTCTTAAACCACTGTAGTCCTTGTTTCAAGTTATATACATATATGCGCTGCACCGAAATTCCAAGTGTTGCCGAAAATAAATAATATCAAAAAGGGATTTTTTACACAAAAACACTAAAAACTGCCATAGTGTGTGGCTTTTTTTCCGAATCTAGCTTGTATTGACTTTGAAATTCTGGCATCACTGCCAACGGATGCTGCGCGGAGAACAGCCCCAAAAGCCCCATCAGTGGAACAGTCAGTTGTTTACCAACTCAAAGCCCCAACGGAACGGATGCTGCGCGGACGAAAGAGCCCCAAACATCGAGGAATCGAAACAGCCGACAGAACAGAGAGTTCCACCCAAATCGCGACTTTTAATCCATTCGCCGTGTGCCAAAAGCCAAACAGTGACAGTTCTTCCTTTGCCTTGGTTTTTTTTTCGAGTGTTTGAGAGAAGTGCGGGAAAGATCTCTCCAGAGATCTCCTCAAAGAGAAGAGAAGCCGTGTGTGAATCAGTCAGTCAGGGACAATAGCCATGCGGTCATCGGCAGCCAGAGCCACGTGCGAGCGGCGTGGCCGTCAGCAGCAGAAGCTTCATCAGAACACCCAACAAAATTAGTGAAAATACCATTATTTGTGATTGTGATTCATAAAATCGTGCACAAAAATCATAAATCATAAACCCAAACCAAAACCAAAGCGAACCAACCAAAGCGAAAGTGAAAGAGATTCCTCCATTGTTATCCTCCCAGAGCAGAGGCACAGAACAGTTTACCAACAGTTGGCAGCGTCGCAGTGGGAGAACCACTTGAGAGTCCGAGTCCTCCCGACCCTAAGCGTAAGGTAAGTCCAGGTCTGAAGAAGAATATTCCCGATATTACTGTGATAACCCTGTGGTCTTGAAACTCTTGGAAACATTCATTTGAATTCGATTAGTTAATTGACCGTTAGTAGAGCATCGATGTTATCGGTTAACTTATCGCCTCTTAAGTTCGAGAGCCACCTAGCATTGATAGGTGTCAACATTTCTTGGCTCTGGCATCTTATACGAAAATATCCTGGAATCCCATAAGCTTCTGCAGAAGGGTCTTCTCAATTGATTAGTGATTGGTAGGATCATGATCGTACATCTCAATTAATGAATATCTTGCATCGCACTAGAGTCGCATCTAAAGAATGGGATCCTAACCTATGATTTAATAATAATAAGATGGTGGAATGTAACCAGAAAGCCCCTAATGCATCTCGAGCTGGACCTACTCCCGAATCTATCACATCCTCTACGCCCATTGAATGCCAAGACACTTTATGGGACTTTTATGGGAAATCAGTAGCTCAGGGATCTCCGTGTACCTTCTCTGAGTGTGGCGGTGTGTGCATTCCCACTCGCACTCTCCGTGGCGCAACAACTGAAGGCACATTGAAATTGAATTTCGCTGAATGCATAAACCTCAGAATATTAATTACAAACAAATTACAATTTCCCTGCTTCGCCCTCTTGTCACATCACGGCCCCCGTTTTGGCCACCCCTTTCGGCCAGGCCTTAATTAAAGACGCCAAAGAGTAACGGTAATAACCGACAACGAGAACGACGACCGAAGAGGGTACTGCTGTTGTTGCTGGCGTAATTGTGGCAGACATCGTCGCTCATGCTCGCTTATGTCCCTG